AAAAAAACAAACAAGCAAAAAACCTTACTGCTCTATGTATAAATAACTATTTTATGACATAAAAAGACGATGGTTAATTTTTATTGAATTATTATAATATTATTTTTTTAAAATATCAAATGTCACATAAAAATGTATCGTTTAAAAAAAGTTTGGGGGCTTTTATTTTGAAGACAAGTTTTCCCACTTCCTACCTGGCGTGTGTAGCTTGACGTAGCTCACTGCCAGTTGGTCAGGGGGCTCGTGAGTGCAGTTCGTTCTGTTGTCCAGGCGGCTGCGCGTGCTGCCGTGCTCGGCTGCAGTATATAAAGGCGGTCAGCGGTCAAAGCCCACACAGCCGCTCTCAGCGTTACGTGTTTTTTTTTTTTAAATTTATTATCACGCCGGAGTAGTTAGACTCTCCTTTTCACCGCCGGCATCCGCGTCCTCTCAGTACCCGGAGGAGAGGGGGTCCAGCGCGGCGTGACACCGCGAGGAGCGACCAGCATGGACCCCCAAGCGAAGGATCGCACCAGCCCGGCGGCGGGGGGCTTAAGCGGGCGCCCGGCCTCTCTCGGAGCTGACGGGGGTGACTCGGAGTCCGGAGCCTGCTCGGAGGAGGCTGCCGTGGGCTGCTGCAGCGACACGTTCAGTAGCCTGCCTGACATGGAGCAAGAGACTCTGGAGGAGAAATTAAGGGGACTGGCGTTCAGAAAACAGACGTCGTATCGGTGAGTGGGATAGCTGGGAGGATGCTGGGGAAGGATACTGGTTCGAGAAGGATATGTTTGTGCATTTATTATGTCTTTGCGCCTATACTTCACTCTCCTCGTGCTTAAGTTACACGTTAAAGGCTAAAGCTGCTGCAAGAATTACACCCATGCTAGCTAAATCTTGTAAACATAAACACACACTGAGTGGTGCATACTTCAGCTCATAGCTGAAAAGCTAAATTCTCACATGTCATGGTTATGATAACCCTGCCTTGTCCCAGGCTGTGCTCACCATGCTGCTGTTGACAGCCCCAGCACTGATATGCGCACAAAAGCCAGGGCACTTTAGCCCCATCAGTGAGGGATAAAAACAATTTTACATACACAACAATGTGTGCATGTCCCTGTGGTGCTGGAACAGTGTGGAGGAGGGGGAGGGAGTGAAGCTGTATTGATTTGTGGTGTGTGTGTGTGTGTGTGTGCGTGTGTGTGTGTGAATGCCAGCAGCATCCTGACACCCCAGTGTGACTGGCAGCTGCAGTTGATAGTGAAAACTGGCCAGATCCCAAGTCCACACGTTCACACAGTCTATCTGTCTGTCTTTCTGTCTAGGCTTTGTGTTTATGTGTCTGCTGGAAATGATCTGTAGTTGGGGGTCAAATCAATCTTTTCAGCTTGTTTGTGTTCGACTAACTTGTTTGTGTCTGATTTGGGGCAGTGTGATAAAGTGAAGTATAATTTTTACCATCAGCACTATTAAATCTTTGCTTGGGAAAATTGATAAGAAAGGGTCACGACCTCTAATCTGGTGACTCTGTGCTCGTATGTACTGATTTGTGTCATGAAATTAATATTTTTCACTTTCAGATGTCGATGGCGTTCACATTTTGAATGTGGGAGGGTTTGCAGGAGAGGTTGAGTGAGTCATTTTGCAACTTGCACTGTCGACCTCACTTTGACTCGCAGATTTTAATCATCAAGTAAAAATGACTCTGTTTAGTTTAGGGATTAAAAACTACTTGGTTAGATTGAAGGTCACAAAACAGCTTGGTCAATAAAACCTACTTTGATCAGTTAAGGGAATAAAATCTACTCTGATTAGAAAAATATCATGTTTTTGGGTTAAAACACACCGATTGCCACTTCTTTTTCTTGGTTTCCATGGTGAGACATCCCCTCCTATTGAAATACATTCATTTTAAAGTTGTAAATCACATTTGGTCTTCGTCAACACAAAGAATAAAAACTGTAAATTAAAAATTATGGCTGCATTTGATAAATTATTTCTTTTTAAACCTGGGTGGAGGGTGGGGTGGGGGTGCAGGATAATTACTGTAAGCCTTTTATTGCCCCAGTAATTAATGACCCAGTCAGATTAAATATTCCCCATGTAAACACATTACAGTTGAATAAACCATTCCTTTTTTTTTTTTTTTTGAGGAATGCAATTCATCTCATTTTAAAAAGGGCTGGTACATTATAATAATCCTATTACAATCCATTCGACAGATGATAATTACCCATTTTTTGTTGTTGTTGTTTGGAGTGTGCATGATCTTTTTAAACAGTGTAAGGCAAAGACAACAGAGACTCACAACTCCTTTGTGTTTATTGTGTCATCATTTACGGAGTCTCTGTTCCGAGGGGAAACCATCTTTGGTTAAGTGAGGTTTCCAGGAGATTGTGTTTCCTGGGGAGTGCCGCAGCTGGCTTGCCTTTTTCCAATTTTATGACTGCAGGAGTAGTTTGTTGTGATAAAAGTGTTGCCTCAGTAGAAAATGCAGCAGTAAACCGGAGCATTGATGGGTTTGGTACACTGAACATATCAAACCCTCGTCTGCTTTATGGACTCCGGAGGAAAGGATGACGTCATGTGAAGAATCGTGTTCAGCCAGCAGAAGTCTTAGTTGGCAGAAGTTGTGTTATTATTATGTGATATACCAACCAAGTGGTGGTGTTTGATTATTTGCTCGATAGGTAAAACCCAGCAGTTTCCATAGAAGAACCTGTGGAAGAACCACTACTTGCTGCTTTTTGTCTCCAGATCTCTCAGGACCTATTGAACTGGCCTGCTTTAAGTGATGCACAGCAGCTGGCTGTTGTCTTGGCAAAGGTGATAAGATCCCAACAATTTAAATGTGAGACAGTTTAGTTTAGTAAATACACAATTTTCCATAGCCTGTGAGTAATTCTGATCATAATTTTTGCCAAAAATAAGGAGTTCCTACTCTCATTAAGTAATGACCTGTGGTCTGCCATACTACACCAAAATAAGGTGGTGTAGTCCAAGGAGCTGGCGATTGTTTAATTTAAAAATGCAACATTTTTTTACTTAAAAAGAAATGGGAACAATTTAACTGTGTTTTTATTAGGTTGTTAGGCATTAGTTACCCTGTTTTCATCTGGTTAATATACTAATACAGTTAGTTTATACAACAGGAACAACTGACGAGTACTTGTAAGGTTATCTTGTGTTTTATAAATGCCGATACCCTTAAAACCTGTCATTCATCAACAGATAGTTGTTGGTGTGAGATGAAATTTTGGCAAGTGTGATTGCTCTTTTATGATGATTATCAGACACTTGGCTCAAACTTGATTGAGTAATGCAACTAGAAACCAGAAGATTTACCCAAACTCTGGCCTAGATATTCTACATATATAGAAATGCAGATTTCTCTGTATAGAGATTAATATATACCGAGTATATTGGAATATTACACCGGAATTGAGAGTAAAAGTTCTGGGAGGAAAGTGGAATGACAAAAGATGAACCAAATAATGACCTTGTCCACCCTGTCCCTTTATAGCTGCTTCCAGTAGCTGTATTCAGTGCTCATAAACTGTAAATGGCCTCACTGGAATCCCTAGTTGGATTATTTTTGTTTGCAAAGCAGAGAATTTGGCTCATGTTACTCAGCCACTGTTTGCTACTGTGCACCGAGTATTTCAGAGAAGAAGAATGTGGAAATAAAATGCCAGATGGTTAGAAAACCTGCCATTTTTTTTCTTTTTCTTTTTTTTTCTTTTTAGTTAATGAACAACTTATACTGTGTATATGGTACTCTTTGCTGGAATTTCACTTATTCCCTAGCATGATGTTCTTTTGTCACATCTGAAGTTAGAACAGTTTGTTTCTTTATTGTATTTCTAATCCACCGCAGTATGTCGGTCGTATGTTTGGACTGGAAGAATACAGTCTGGTATATTTAATTACGCCAAATAAATCTGCCTTGTTCTATCAACACGACAAAGGCAGATTGGCACGGCGGTTAACGTGGCGTGTCTTGGGTTGTTCGGACCTTTGACCTTATTGGATGAGGCTATGATTAATCTGTGAATTTTCTGCTTCGTGGAATCAGCCATGATGTGCAGGAAATGGAATTAGCCGGTCAGGGGAGATGGTTTGTAAGAAGGTGGTTTACATAGCTTTGAAGTGGCCAATGCCAAGAAGTGAATTACCATATGTGGCAATATGAAAGAGCTGAGAAATTATGCTGTTGAACATCAAAGCCAGCGTGTGTGTGAGTGTATGTGAGGAGCTGTGGTATTGTGTGTTTATGGCAGCATGAGGCACGTGTAACTTATCTGCCAGACATTCGTCACACTTTGTCTGTGTGTGTGTGTGTGAGTGTGTGTGTTCCCAGAATGCTGTCCCTCCTTTTATCTATTCTTAGATGTCTCACCCATCTGCCTGCATGACAGCCCTTCCTCTGTCAAAAGACAGCGGCTTTGTGTGTGTCTGTGTAGTCAGCGCACCGGTTGGTTTGTAAGACATTATTTTAATTAGCTAGTCAGTCAGCCGGCTGGACACTCAATCTGTAAGTGAGTCAGTGACATGTTTCTCCAACCACTTCCTGGTTATCTGTGACAGGCAGTTGGTCAGCGTTGCATTTATAGATTTTTCGGATTATCTAGCTGTCAACACAGTTGGCATTAGAGCTCATAAAATTATATAAACCCGCTACAGTTCCCACAACCCATAAAGCAGAGCCTTAGCAGAGCGGCAGTTGTGCTCATAGCAGCGAAACGAGACTCTATCTCCTCTGTCCTGACCTCACAATGACCCCACTCCATCCCTGTGCACTCTTTCTGAAGTCCTAATGTACCCCAAAGCCCATATATACATGCCTACAATATTTGCAGTCTTCCTGGAACACTTTATTAATTATGCCACAACTGACTGATAGCCACATTGAGATTAGATATAAAATATTAATTGCAACTTAGAGCTGCATCATAGTTGAAATACGTAGTGGGAGATATGTATTATAAGATGATGCCATTAGAGATGCTGGGGTTTTTCCCTGCACCATTAAAGAGGTGTTAGTCAGAGCCAAAGGACAGTAAGGGCAAAATGATTACTAGTTTTTTAATTATGCTTTTATTTATTCATATATAAACTATATTTTTTTTTGAGTAGTCTACTCCCAAAGACTAATTCTCAGCCTGGAAAAATCCCTGGATATGTAACCCCTAATTATCCTCTAATGTTTCTGGCCAGCGGCATGTAAATGTTCTGTGTCTGAGGCTCACCAAAGAGCAAACAGAAAAGGCAAACCTGTATTATCTGCACAAGATAGCTATTATGTTATCTGGAATGACAGTTTTAATTTAATTTGTCCTTATTGTAACTTATGAGAACATTTGAGAGAGAACTCACTGATAAATCGGTGAAAAAAGAGCACTGAAGGATAAGATTTACAAATATGAATGGGGGAAAATTGCCTCCGTGTATGCAAACAGTCTCTAATACAGAAGAACGTCTGTGGTTTTGAAGAGAGGGGGTAAAATGGTACATACACAGATACATTCTGATGCTAAATCAGTGTCCGTGTTCACAAAACAATCTCTGTTTACTTTATTTTGCCGAACTTACAAAGTATCTACGAATTTCGCTCGTCTTTTGGTGGTCTCTGCGTGTTGTTTTTATATTCTTTAAATGACTTAAAAATAAAGTTTAGTATAGATTTGAATATATATATA